GTTTTATTTTGTCTTTTGTTGTTCACCTTCGGCCTAGGCTTAGTAATGAATAACAAAGACTTTATTTGGACAGATAAAATGATTTTGGATGTTTATGGGAGAAGGTTTGTGGATTATGGTTTGGCTTAGGGAGGGTTTTGGGCAGCAAGGGTTATAGTTTGGGCTTTTTGATGGAAAGAAGGAATGAATTCAACCCAATAAGGATTATAACAATTAAGCATTAACTCCTTATTTTGCTTACCCTTTGGTGATGCATGGTGGGGTACAACATCCTTCCCGTCTTCAAAAGAGTTTGACCTCAAACTCGGAGTATAAATTGGCTTGGATTGCTCATTGAGGTCTCTCGTGTTTACATTCACGTACCCACAAACATGCTGGTTGACTTGAGTCGTTGTTATCGTCTCACGACGAGTTTCATCTATGTATTCAGATTTACCAGCTCGTATCAATGTTGACAGGTGAACGGGAGATTTTTCTTCAGGATGAAGAGAAGTAAGGGTGATTCTCTTATTGTCTTTGAAGAATGAATACGTGTTAGCGTATCCATCGTAAAGAACCCTGCGATCGAACAACCAAGGTCGTCCGAGCAGCACATGACAAGCGTCCATCGGTATCACATCACACCATATTTCATCCTTGTAGGTTTGCCCAAGACTTAGTGACACCAAGCATTGAGTGTCAACACGTAACCCTTTACCATGATTCAGCCATTGGAATGTGTATGGTGTCGGGTGTGGTGAAGTTTTCAGCTGGAGTTTATCCACCATAGTCTTTGAGGCAACATTTGTACAACTCCCACTATCAATGATGAGAGAGCACACCTTTTCTTGGATTGTACAACGAGTATGGAAGATATTCTCTCGTTGTATTTCTTCTTTTGGACAGGCCATCGCACTTAAAGTTCTACGAATGACCAAAAGCTCTCCATCATCAGGTCCGACATACTCTTCTTCTTCTTTATCCCATGAAGGGTCAAAAGTATCATCATTGCACTCCACCAGAGTCATGACCTTCTTATTGGGACAATCTCTCTTTTATCTTTACTCTTACTTGCAATTACATTAACTGTGAAAACTAACCCATCCATATTGATTACTGCTCACTCTACCCACCAAATTCCGCACACAATCTAAAGTTCTCAAGAACTCTAGATTAACATTTATTTTCACGTTTTCCAAAGAAACGAAAAAGATTTTAAATTTGTAACAAAGTCTATTCACCCCCCCCCCTCTAAACTTTGTATCTCACCACTTTGGGACCACCAGTTTTGAAGTATGGGTTTATGGTGAGAGGACGTGGGATGTGGAGGGGATGAAGGAGTGGGGAGTAAAGGTGGGTATGAAGAAGAGGTTCTCATTTGGGCAGCCTTGCCTTTCTTGATTTGGCTTTCAACTTTGAGAGCCAACTTTGTAAGATCGTCAAGGGTTTGGTAGTCTTGCAGTTCCACGATGTTAGCTATTTGGACATTCAATCCAAATACATACCTCACAAAAGTTTGTGAATCATCTTCTTGAAGATCACACCTTAATAAGAGTTCCTCGAACTCTCGGTTGTATTCCTCTACAGAACGAGGGCCTTGCTTCAAGTGTTGAAGCTTAGCAAAGTTTTCTTGTATGTAGTTCTCGAGTAGAAACTTCTTCTTCAAGAGTGTTCGCATCTTGTTCCACGTGGTCACCGGGGACTTGTTTTCTCTTCTACGCCTAATGGTGACGTTGGTCCACCATGTTGACGCATACTTTCTGAACTTTAAGGCCACGAGTTTGACCTTCTTCCCTTCGGACACATTCTTGAAATCAAAGACACGTTCAACGGTCTCTAACCATTCAAGAAAGTCATCAGGGTCGTTCTTTCCTTCAAAACTGGGCATGTCTACCTTGAAATCAGAGGCTGACTTCTCTGGATTTCTAGTTCTTATGGTAGCAACAGAACTAGCATCATCTTCATCTTCACTTTGTTCAGGAGTTTGAACCATACTCATCTTGAATTTAGTGAGCTTTGCCACTTCTTTTGCCAAGTATTCAACTTGAGCCTTTAATTCTGCATTTGAAGCAATAAGCTCTTCTTAGGACATGTTTTGAGTTGTGTGAGACATGGTTTAAAAGAAATAGGTGTAGGGAAAGAGGGGTGTAGGTGAAGAAAATTTAGCAGGGGAAGATAGTCGATTATCTGAGTTTGATAATCGATTATCGATGCTATCAGGATCAAGATTGGGAAAGAAAGAAAGAAAGAAAGAAAGAAAGAAAGAGAGGGAAGTCTTTGTGGTCCTCAAAGAGATGTTCAACAACAAGCTTTGATACCAAATGTTGTACCCGAGACCCGGGGTGGTCTAGGATATCAATTTAAGAAGAGAAAGAAGAAGAGAAGGTGTAGAAATATAGGGGAGGCTGAATTCAGGAGAAAACAAGGGAGTGAGAAAGAAGCATTTATCAAGTGAATAATAAGAGGAATCACACACACTTATCTTCACTCGGGTTAAACTCTAGTATTTAAATAAGGAATCACTCAACTTATTTAATATATCTAGAACCTAAAACTCCCACTTAAGAGAACCACTCTTAAGATATAGAATTAGGATTTAATATAGAGTACTTAGAGAGAGAACTGAGCAAGAAACTTATATTATCACAATATAT